GCTCCCGCCGTTCCGTGACTGGTGCTCTATTTACAAGGGCAGGGAGAGGCGCTGGCCGGCTGCAGCGCGGCCTTTGAGGGCCGAGCGCTTGGCTGTGGGGGCAGGAGAGGGGGAGCCGCCGAGGAGAGGGCAGTCTTGGTAAAGTTGAAACTTACTCTGGTTTGCCTCCCGACAGGCTAAGCGCACCAAGAAGGTTGGGATTGTGGGTAAATATGGGACCCGTTACGGTGCATCCCTTAGGAAAATGGTGAAGAAGATTGAAATTAGCCAGCATGCCAAGTATACCTGCTCCTTCTGTGGCAAGGTAGGAGACCTTCCCTAAAAGTCCTTAAAAATAACTTTGTTATTGGTGCTACAAATGCACCAATTCGATGCTTTGGTAATTTTTCTACTGAAGAGATGACCAGTTTTGAGATGGTGATCATTTTATCGCGAGCTTGAGGCTACTGTCAGAATCCTTTATAAAATAAGGAGTTAGTAGACATGTTGCATGTATGCTTAGTAGCAGTTAAATGAAAACAAACACAAACTATGTTTTGTTACGCAGAATAGTGAGAAATGTTGCCATACTCTTATGTTTTAGATATCTAATAGAAAGACCTGACAGAATTGAATCAGCATATCTCTTACCCTGATAATTAAGACATGACTTGGGCTTTTTTTTTTTAATTCAGTAACTTTAAAGCTTAGTTGGGGGAGGAAGAGAACTTGCTTTCCCCATGTAATACTTTTAATTGCAGTTGCTTACTTCTGTTTGTCTGCTGTATAACTGCGTGGAAAAGAATTTCTGGTAAGAAGTTATTTTACCTGCTCATGTACATTATCAGAATTCACTCTTAAATCTGGTTTTTGACAGTTTGAGAGGCCCGTAAGCTTGTGCTTTGCCCAGATGATTTTTACTGATATTTGTAAAGTAGGTATCTTTAAGTGGCTGGAAATCTAAAAAGATCATAGAATCGTAGAATCGTTTAGGTTGGAAAAGACCTTTAAGATCATCAAGTCCAACCATTAATCTAACACTGCCATCCCACCACTAAACCATGTCCCTAAGCACTACATCTACCCATCTTTTAAACACCTCCAGGGATGGGGACTCAACCCGGGCAGCCCATTTCAATGCTTAACAACACTTTCACTGAAAAAATTTTTCCTAATGTCCAACCTAAACCTGCCCTGGCACAACTTAAAGCCATTTCTCCTTGTCCTAATTACCATTTGTGGTGGGGTTTGGTTTGGTTTTTTTTTTTTTTTTTAAATTCATACATTTAGTGTCTTTCTCACGTAAAGTGAGAATGTTGATAACCCCATTTTCAGAGCTGCCTAACTCCAATAAAGGTCTAGGCAAACCATTCCATTGTCATCTTTGCAAGGTGACGGGGACTTGCCCGAGTGAAGGGAGCTCAGTACCCATCACTCACTCTTCAGATGCTATTCGAAGGGGGTCTGGTTTAGAGCAACCTTGGGACGCCCAGGGAGCACTAATAACAGCAGTGTCACATTGGTCATCAAACAGGTGAGAATATCGGTTATTATGACCAATGTAACTCGCTATTATTTTTATCCTTCAAAAAGACCTGAATTTTTGATGATGCACTTACAAATGGCCCACTTTATATCTGAATGAAAAAGCATTTCAGAAGGACTGTCCCTGTTCTGAAGAATCTGAATAAAAACATTCCCCAATCCTTGCCTGTCTTCACTAGGCTTCTAGGTAACTCAGTGGTGTGATGCTGAAGTCTGTTGTTTGGTTTTTTCAGCTAATGAGAGAGTGCATTTTTTTCTCCTTTTGCTTCTATTACAGACCAAGATGAAGAGGAAGGCTGTGGGTATCTGGCACTGTGGGTCCTGCATGAAGACAGTTGCTGGTGGCGCCTGGACTTACAAGTAAGGAAATGAAGAAGCATTTATTCTCATATAGCTGAGGCATAATACAGCTTTTTTTTTTTTTTTAAATCTATTAGCCGTTAAGTAGATTTCTCTCAAGTTAGTGATATGTGGGAGGGGTTTTTTGCCTGCATTGCTAAAAATCGGTTGGAATGGATCAAATTGGATTTGATGGCTATTCTTTCCAGTATCAGTTGTGCAGCTTCTGAGAATATTGCATTTTATCCATCGTATTACTGCTGCTGGTCTTGGTGGGTCCCTCCAAAATTTCTTTCTCTCTCTGGGCTTTATCAAAGCAGTTGTTTTATTCCTCAAAAATGCAAGCTCTGCATATTTTCCTAAACTTCAAATAAAGTCATTGAAACATCTATAAATGCTGAAACAGGTATTTTTACTTAAGTAGTCTATTTTGTTCCTTGGCTGTAGTAGCATTTCTTGCTGGAGATGTGAACTACAGTTGTTGCTTGTACGAAGTGTTACTCTTGGGCCATTTTTTTGGTGATGTTGAAAGAAAAGGAGCAGAGGGGATGGCTGGTTCGTCCAGCCGTCTCAGGGTAGAACCAGCTGTGCGGATGACACCCGACAGATGTCCCTCCGACCTATTCTAAAAAGAGCTTCAGCAGCTTCTAATAAATTATGCCTCTGAGCTGGGGATTATTTTTCCTTCCTTGATTCTTTTGACTACAAAAATTTTAATTGCGTAAGGGAGCTCTTACCTCTTCTTTCAAAGCTGAAGCAGCATTTTTTTGTGATTACTACCCTAGCCTTTTCAGTTCAGAGACATGGATACAATAGGTAAAATCAGGTTTGCTCCAAGGAAAATGACTTCCATGTTTTATTTTTCGTTATGTTTTAAAAGTATTGAGTCATTATAATCCTTGTTGTGATGATGCCCTTGCTTACTCCCTTTCCTTAATCTCCCCCCCCAGTTCTGGTAGAAGACACTGTTGTCCCACGCATAACAGTCTCTGGGAATTTGAGCCCACGCGCTTGAGCATGTAGTTGATGCATGACTGGATAATTTGGGTTGAGATGTAGCTTGTGAAGTTGCTTGTGCATCTGTAGACAAAGGCCTACGCTTTATTGTCATGAAAATCAAAGTGGAATTAGCCCCCTGTTGACAGTGCGATCAGGTGATAACTATTTGAAATGATTAGTGCTTTCTCCAAAAAATAACGGCGCGGGTTGTTGTACTGCCACGTGCAGATGACTCTACTTCTTCTTCCAGTACCACCTCTGCAGTGACAGTCAAATCTGCGATCAGAAGACTGAAGGAATTGAAGGACCAGTAGATGCCACATCCTGTTCTCCTTGTGAAACATCTTTTTTTTTTTCCACTGTCAAGATTTGTCCTTTTAACAATAAAAAGGTGATAATGGAGTGGAATCATGTTCGTCTTTCCACAAAAAGTCATGTGTCTCATGCTGTACCATATGTATAACTACGGAGGCATTAGTAGTTCTATCCAGTAGTTGAGTGGCTCTAGGTACTGATGAAGCCATTAAAAACCACTTCCAGTTAATTGCATACTTGCTTGAATGCGCTAAGATGAATCTGACGAAAGCTTAAATAGCTTAAAGAAACCTGGCACGTCTTGGTATGTCCTTCGTGTCTGTGCCTTGAGGAATAGCGTAGAGCTCTATGAGTGGAGGAATGGGCAGATGTAAGGGGGGGAGGAGAGAACATGCAAAGCATCACTCTGCTTCCCATTTGCCTTTGAGGAGGGCTCAGGGGAGCAGGGCATGTGCTGCAAGATGGAGAGAAAAAAGAGCATCATGACTGGCTTGGGGGCAGAGCCTGGAATGGTAAAAGCCCAGCTATCACCCTCTGTTGCTGGCTGGTGCCGCTTTATTTTTCAGCGCCAGCTATAGACAATCCCTTACTGCAGCCCCTAGTGTGGTGTTGCGTGCAGATCTCGAGGTAGCCTACCTGAATGTGCTCTATGGCTTGCTCTTCCCAGGTCTGATAACAGGCTTCTGTGTCTGTTCAAATTACCTAATCCATACCAAATTGCAACAATAAATTTTCGTGTTGAACTAGCTCCTGGGACACTCAGTCTTGGAGGAAAAGCTGCTGTTAATAATTGGCCTCCAAATCATCTCTAGACCACCAAGGTTAAGATGTCTGAACACTTTCTTTGTGGTCTGTCAGGTGAGTTTCGATTTGGTTTGAGGTTTGTTTCTGTCTGGACTGCAGCACCTTTCCTGTCCCTAGGTCAGAAAAGACAAGTCTTGGCAATAACCTTGATAGCTGCTGGAGGAAAAATAGTAAACAGGTAGCATAGCGGTTGCTTGCTCTTGCTCCAACTTAAGCTTTACATGGATTTGGGTGGTGATGAGCTGCGGCAGTAATGTCATTAATGAGCCTGATATCTTTCAAAGATAGATTCAGAACTGGACCTCAGTAGGAACTTTTTCCCAAGCTGCAAAAAGTCTGTTGCTCAGAAGTTTAACTGCAGTGTCCCTGAACTTGTTTCCTAAACTTTTTTTTTTTAATTCAGTGCTCTAAACTTCCTTTACTAATGTAAATGTGTTCCGGTATTCCGTGTCATTCACACCAACCTGCATATCCTTCATGTCACCTCCTAACAGTGATGAGGGTCATTCCCTGGGACTCGGGACAGAGATCACTGCGCATTTCTCTGCTGACACACCTTGTTCTGCCTGTAGCGCAGGGTGAAAGAGTTGTGTGACAGGCTTGAAGTGGAGGTAGCAGCGGGCGACTCTCCTTAGAAGCAGTGGCTCATTTTTGTATATGTAGATGAACACCATCATGGCCTTCTGCACGTGTGTCTTCTGTTAGCAGGGTTATGAAGGAAACCTGTGGGTTCAAGAAACTCTTAGCTCAACTCGGTCTCATTTTTGCTGCTGCTTTTCTTGTGTGACGTGCCCACAGCAGCTTTCTCCAGGTACTTGTCAGACCTCCCAGCTTAGTCCTGGGCACTGCTGCTGCTGGTCCTGGTTCACGCTAACCAGCTTTCTTGGGATGCCATCTCTGAGCTGCCTTGGAACTTTCTTTGCAGCTGTTCCTGCTCCCGTGGGGATGCCTTGCATGCTGGTGTGTGGATAGCTGGAACAGCTCAAGGAGCTAGCTTTTCTCCTGCTGGCTGCTGCTCCCACTGAAGGTAGGGTGAATGGTGATTGCAGATAGCTTATGCCTACTGTGAGGGTATCTCAGCTGCATGAAAACCAGCTGCTGACCGCCTCAGTGAGTTTATTAAGGGGCACTGCCCCTGACTTTGGCTTGCCTTCACACGTAGGTTTGTGAAGTGCTGCGGTCCAGGAGCCGCTGCGCAGGTAACAGCCATCTTTTAGAGAAGCCTCAGTGAGAAGGAAGGGTTGGGGAGCTGGTGTAGACTGGATGTTCAGAAACAACTTCCATCATGCTAAAGGTGTCTTCACGTGAGCCCCTTTGTTGAGAAATTGTGATGAAACCACGTGAGCACTGATTACTTTGCTTGCTACTTCATCATGCAAAAGCCTGTGTTGGTAAAACACTGGATGTGCTTGGGGGGAAGTCCCTCTGGTGATGTAGCTATATGGCTCTGCTGCTAGAAGAGGCTCTGAGGGGCTTGCGTTGCTCCATGGAGGTCTGTGTTTCTACAAGGAGGCACGACACAACAGGTTGAGGCAGGCGAGGCCCAACAGCTAGGAAAGAGCAGCCCAGGTTCCTGGGCAGTGGGCTTGAGGATGGGAGGGGGAAATGCTGGTTTTAGTGAAGCTGCAGAAGAGGTCCAAAACTCCAGTACCACCTGCGTGAGGTGTTCCTACTGGAGCAAAACTTCACAGGCATCTGCAGTGATAACAGGGGCCATGGATGTGGCTCACCTGCCACCAGGAAGTCACCGCTGTTCCTCAGTCATCTGCCAGAGAAAAGTACTGCTCGGTCCTTGGACCGGCTGCTGGTGTCCCCTGGTGAAACGTGTCCTCCTCTCTTCTGGAGTTCTTGAGCCGCTAAGACCAGGTATAAGCGGCAAGCTGGTGCGTGTGCTCCTGGTGAATTCGGATTTACCTGCTCTCTCGAAGGCTTGTAGCTGGCTGTGACAGCTGCTGTGTGGGGGTGTGTGTTACTGGCTCTCGCTGCCTTTACAAGCAGGACAGTGGTCTTCTGCATATGGCCTTTTATTCTTGACTCGGTGTGCTTGGGTCGCATCTCCACGTCCCTCTCCCCTCCCAGTTCTGGGCACTGAGGGATGTTGATATCCCAGGGTGATTGCACAGGTACCTTATCTAAGGTGACTTCTATTTCTGCTGAGGATGTTATTATTTACCTTTGGGATTAATATTTGCAGAGAGTGGAAGCTGGGCAAGGTGGAAATAGGAAGAGGAGAGAAGGATGTGGGATGTTTTTTTGATCTGGACTGCGTGGTCCTACTTGCATCCATGCATGCACAGAGCGCCTGGGCTTGTCTTCTCCCAAGAGCACCATGGTACCCTGGCCTGCTCCTCAGGCAGAGGCGTTTTGTGCCGGTGAACCTTCAGGGCTGCCAATTCGGCACGTTTCCCCCAAGTGAGAGCAGGGAGGAAGGTGGAGAGGGGCAGGGAAGAGGAAGGATGCTGTCTGTGGTCAGGGCACTGTCAGCCGGCAATGCTGCGAGCGGCCAGCGGGCGCCCCTGCCGCTCTGCTGCTCAGTGTTGCAAGGCTGCTGCCTGGCCGCATCTTCTCAGCTTCCCCTCCCATCCAGGAGAAAGGCTCTGCTCACCTGTACGTCTACTATAGCTTCTTAGCTCAGCGTTTCATGCTTTCCCCCTAAAATAGACCGTGATGGTGATTTTAGACTGAAACGGGGGCCTGTGCCAAAAGACATAAGGACATGAGAATAGGAATTGGGAATGTTGGGGATGGGTGTTTTGTGGTCGCTTGTCAACTCTAACAGAGCTGAATTTGCATTGTTGCTCTGTCCAAATCCTGTGTATATTCTAGGAGAATTTGTTGTACCAACAGCTATGTGATTTGGCCAGGTGATCCTCCATATTTGTTGTCTCCTCTGGGAATGTAGGGTGAAAACAGGAATTCTTAGCAATTTGCTTTCAGTATACTTGTTGAGCCTTAGTCAGGAACTTGGATAGAGTTGTCTTGGGTGTTGTAGAAGCTGGCGGCTGTTTTGGAGGGTGTGAGCTTACAGCAATGCCTGACCCATCTGGATTGCTACAGCTGTGGGAATTGGAGGAGGGTTTGATGGAAGCCGAGACTTTGAGTCTGCCTGACTGTTCTGTAGAGGTGGCTGAGCAGGTTGGTTGATCTTGATTGCTTTTGAAGAGCAGGTGGGAAGGGGACTTCTTTCTCAGAGCAATCTGTCAGTCCCATGGGATTTTTATGCTGGATCAATGATATAACCTGAGGGGATGGTGGCTGTAATCAAAGAGGCATTTCAGGAGCCCAAAGGAACTTGGAAACCAAAGACTGAAAGAACTCGGGGCAACTGTCCTCATTTTGATTTCTCTGTTAAGCATTTACCTGATTCCAAAAGAAAGTAATTGCTTTGGCTTTACCCCGTTTGTGCTTCCTGCTTCCTCCTGCTTGCTGCCGGCCTGTTTGCTCTGTAGGGTATCACGATACTGAGCCTTGGGGGCACCGTTTGTGTTGTGCCACACATTAAAGACTGTTGGGGCCTAGGGCTCATGGGGATGAGAAACTTCAGCCACAGGCGTTGGTTGTCCCTTCTGTGTGTCCTGACTTAAAGGTGGTGTGAACTCAGCCCATGTGCAGGTGTGTCTTATTGGGGATTTGACTGTAGTAGAGCCTGACAGGTGTAAGTGATGGGCACCATGGTGATTTCTACATTACACAAACAGCAAATGTCTTGGCCATACCATATGATCGGCTGTCTTCATCCTTGTGCAAGATCAAGTGATGCCCATTGCCTTCCTGAGTTGCTTCATGCCTCTTCTCCATGCTGCATCCCACAGAGATTCCCAACAGCGCTTCAGAAACAAGAGTGACCAATGCAGGTGAGTTACCTTCCTGGGGCAGACACACCCTGTCTTGGGAAATTTTTCTAGGTCTCTCCCTAGAAAGAAAGGAGCTTTAGTGATGAAGCTTGTTGCTGGCTTTGCAGCTCAGAGCATTGGCCAATGAATCAGCCAGGATTGGGGTGTGATGTGGGTGCCACTTTAAGGGGCTGCAAGTCACCATCTGATTTTACATACTGTCCCACCTTTCAGCTGCTGCTCAGCTCACCTGGATGTTCACCAGCTCCCATGGAAGAAGTAGACAGGCAAGCACCCCTCTGCTTCCTGGCAATGCAGCATGGCTCACAGCTTTTTTTTGGAGAAATGGTTCCTCAAAGGATGCTACGAAGTGGTATGCAGTGGCACAGGACTGTGTCTTTCCAGTGGCTCAGGGTGACAGAGAATTGCCTGCTTGAAACCAGCCCCAGTGCTCTGGAAGTGGGCAGTTGCCATCGGTAACATATCCTTCCTCCAAGTATTCCATCCTTAACGGATGTCTTTTGAGGCATGGAGTGTGGCGGAGTTGTGGATATGCCTCAGGTGCCCTTATTAGATGCCTGGATGCGTTTTGAAAATGGCTGCTTAGAAAATGTCTAATTGCTATTCCACATATTCAAAGTGTTTTTTTCTCTTGACAAGGCTTTGGCATGCCTTGGATTGCTAAATATACTTTCCTCTTGCAAATTCTTGGCAGGAATCTTTGTAAGGAATCATGCCAAGCAGTCTCTTCAAATGTTAACAAGCTCATCGGTGTGGCTTTCCCAGTGCAGGGTTTGTGCTCTTTTTTTTTTTTTTTTTTTTTTTCCCTTTCCCCAAAAACCCCAACCCTTCTCCTTTCTGTACAGTGTTGCTCTGAGCATATGAACTGTGGCAGCTCTGCAAGAAACGATCTTTCTAACCAGAGCTAAACAACGTGCTTGTCTGGTGTCACTGCCCTGCTCAGCCTCCTGGGGCTCCTGTTAAGTTGGAAGTTTGGGTTGTGGGGTGCTTCTGGAAAACCTAATCCATTTCCTCTCCTCTTTTGCCCTGTCTTGCTTTTTCCTGTTTTTAGCAAGTTGGACTGTATCATTGCATGACAATCATAGATTTGATGTCTTTCTTTCAGTAGCTTATTAGCAAGTGAATGAGGCTGTTGTGCTCCCCTTTTGTTCCCCCCCAGTGCTTAAACTGGTGTAGAAGCAGCCCTGGAGCTGGTGCTTACAGCCGGGCAGGGACCCACAGACCTTCAGGTCAGAGCTTCAGGCCCAGGCTGCCTCTCTGCCTCTGCCCCAGCCAAAGGGCAGTGCTGCTCTGGCATCTTAAACTGCCAAAGCAAAGGAAGGTGGGAGAAGCCAGCGCAGCATCGCTGAAACCCCACTGCCTCCCCGAAAGAAACCTTCTCCTTGGAATCTGGCATTTGTTGATATGTCAGGCTACAAACCTCCCTTGAGCTTCACTTGAGACAATCTTGCATAAGCATTTGGAGAGCCAAAGGGCTGGCTTTCCCTCAACCTTTGCCCACTGCTTGTTTCTTCCCCTGTCCTCTCTCACCTCCTGATCCAGAGTGTGAGCAGCGTTGCTGTGGGAAAGTGTCTGAGCTTTCTAGTGGGCAGCCAGGGGAAGAGCATGGTCAACCCCGCAGAGCTGCACATCTGGGGCTTTCCTGGCAGCATGCGTCCACCTGATTTCTCAGCAGGCAAATAAGGTTGGAGCTGCCCTCGCCAGCTCTGCTGTGGTGTGCACTGTCACGGCTGCCCCTTCCCCCTGTGGCAGCAGAGGGAGAGCTGGCTGGGGTTTCTTATTTTTCTGCAATTACAATCATGGTATTGATAGGTTACACCAGCTGAGGCTTTGGGCTGTGCTTTTAAAATTTAAGTTCTGTAACAGATTCCCTGGGCTTTGCTCTGCCTCCTCTCTTGGCCTTTGGTCATCTGATGGATACACCTTGGGAGCAAGTGTTTGTGTTTGGACTGGGATGTTAGATTCCCCACCCTGTGCTCAGAGTCCCACCTGCTCCTTGTGGAAAGAGCTCAGCAGGGGATGCGGGGAAGCTGCTGCAGAGGAAACTGAGTTGTGGGGCCCGAGCCTGCATTCATCACGTTACAGCCTGGGATGAGCAGAGGGCTGGAAACCTTGGCAAACCTTGGCACAGAAGAGACCATACTTGAGACAACTGGAAGGGTAGTCCAGGCCGTGTGATGACTCCTTACTTTTCCACTGAGATGCTTCTTGTTCCTGCTCTCTCTGCTCAAAGTGTTGTGACTTTGGCCCACTCCCATGAAATGGGCCCATTAACTGCTCCTCGTGGATCTTGTAGCCCTCCTGCTAATGGTGACTTCTTTTGTTGTTTTTGTTCACCAAAATGGAATATTCTCAGCCTTGATTCAGTGGGCTTTTCTGAAGAGACCTCTGCCCACACCAGGGAATATTTATTTATAAGTCCTAAGTTTGGTTTCAGGAATTTGCTCTGTGAGCCCTCTCCGTTTCTTTGATTAAATCTCATCTTGTAAGAGGAACATTTTATTCTGCATGCCCCTTTCCCACCCTGAGACAAATGTCCTACAAGTCACTGCTTTGCTTTCCCCTTCAGGCAGTTCTGGAACAGCTCCAGTTCTTTGAAAGTGTGGAGAGAGGACCGGATTCCTCCAAGTAAATATTATTTCATGGGATATGCTGAGTGGTGGACCAAGAGGGCACTTACCTTTTTCACTGAATAAAGTTCTTCCAAGTCACCACCTACTATTGGGCCTCACCTTTGAAAGAAGTTTTAATGCAGCACAAGATAGTCTCCAATATCCTGGCTGTGAGGCCAAATTGCTTGCCTGAAGATAGGATCTTGGTCTCTATCAACCGTGTCTGTTTCAATTCAATCTGTTGGATGTGAAACTGTTTTTACTGTAGTGGATTGGATTTGACATTAAAAAGCAAATCTGTAAAGGGAATATTTAAAAAACCCTTAAATACAGAATATACCCAAGTCATGCAAGGGAAGAAGGGAAAGAAATAAATAATCCAGGCATTAAACAACTAATTTTTAACCTTAGTCAGCTGAAGATGTATTCTTCTTTGTGCATGAAGAAAAAGAAATAAATGCAACCTCCTGTAGCAAGCGCAGGTGTTTATTCCAAAGGAGGTCCACCTCTGACAAAAACATTGCATGTGCCATGATAATCTGTATGAACCTCAGATGAAGACTATGCTGGTACCTATCAAGACAAAGAAGAAAATAGTCAAAGGAAAAGGTAGAAGGTGATAATCAATCAGGCAGATATGGAAGCCTAAAGAAGCTGGTTTGTCATCCGCGCCCATCAGCAGTATGGCCATTGCCAAGGGCTTTGGTTTGGATTATTATTACCGAATCAAGTGTTTAGCATCTTAAGGCAGCGATGGTTTTTACAGTGTGGACCTTAAGCAGTGATAAGTCCTTTCACATTGCTCACTTGGAGAATCCAAGGCATTAGACGTGGCAGTAGAGCTGCTGGTTGCTTTACTTCTTTTATTTCCAAAGGGTGGAGATCAGTGATCAGCATGGTTGTACGTGGGGATCAGGCTATTTTGTTTGGCCAATGTACTGTCCTCCCCTTTCCCACTATTTCCTTTTCTGGTGTGTTCTCACCTTACATGTACCTTCCTGGAGGATGTGAGGTCCCTGAGGCATGAAATTTCTAATTGTTTTGCCTGTCGGGTGGAGAGCTGAGCACAGAGGACCCTGCCCGCTGCCTTTTACCTCTGTTGTTCATCTGTAAAATGGAGATCACCCAAGCCTTTGTGAATACATTTCAGGACCATTCCCTGCCATCACTGCAGGAAGATGGTACCTTTGTCAAAGTGAGAACTTGCCATCACTTGCAGAAAAAGGGGTTGCATGGAAATGAGAGAGACTCTGCCTTGTGGTCTTGCTCCTAAATCAGCTGCATTTTTAACATTCAGAAGCCAACAAAGATGAAAGGCTCCTGGTCAACCTCTCTACTCCCTCGGAAAAAAAATACAAAGACTTGATAAATATTTTGCATTAATAAATTCCATTTGTCTTATAAAACAAAGTTTGCCAACTACCAAGGCAGGGAAAATATTTTACATAACTCTGAGTGCGACGTCTAAAAGGTTGCTATGAGCCTGGTTTGAACAACTCTTTCCACAACCCAGAATGTGAAGGAATGCTAAGCTTCACCCAGGCTGGGACCCAGCTTGCTGCGTGTGTGTGCTTTCCTGCCGGCTGGTTGGTTTTATTGCAGTGGAAGTGGCAGGCTGGCCGCCTTCTGGTGAGCGGAGTCCAGTAGGTAAGAGGTGGGCCATGGAAAAAGAGATGATGGTATAAACATGGCCCAAAAGCTGTTTGTGAACCCAAAACAATGTCTCTCGCTGTGCTGTGGGAATGTTGCTATAAAAGGCAGAAAAAGCACAGCTGTCTACCATTACTGTTAGTAATTTTTAAGGGTGATGGTAATTAACCAGTGGAACAGATTCTCCAGGGGTGTTTCTTGGTCTGGACTACCAAGTCTTTCTGATTCTCAGGGCTGGGACTGAGCACTGGCTGTACCTGCTAACCCTGACAGGGTCTATGTGATGGCTTACATCATCCCGCTCTGGTTTCGCCTCAGGCTGCGGAGCAGTGGCCATCTAGGGGAGCTGCAGAAGGTTTTTATTGCCACTTGCAAGCCCACACCCTTGATCAGGGTTAGCACTTCCCAGCATATAGAAATACAAACTGTTACGGGTGGTAGAGGGAGGGGACACCCGAGAAGGGTGCTGCTGAGGTCTGTCTTCAAATGACAGTCCCAAGACCACACCAAGCCAAGCATGCTCTTTTGGCTTTGTAGAATGCACCTCATCACAGCTGACCTACCTCCCTCCATCCTTCCCCTCAGGCCTCTGCCAGTCTTCTCCCAGGTTATCAGCTTGGTTTCCAGGAGCTGGGGTGGTTTCTCTGCTCAGTTTAAGTCCATCTTCTGGTCACCTCTGCCTACCTTCCTTGAAGATGAGCTGGCTGCAGCTTTTTACATGCTTACACTTCTCCTTGAGCCTCCCTTTGCCCTGGGCCATCTGCCACCAGCCAACCTTTTGGAGGGGAGGAGGCAACCAAAGGCTCCCAAATCTGTCAGTGCCAAGGCCAGGCAATGCTGTGAGTTAAAACACTCAGAAAATGAGGGATGCAGCAACTCCAGATGCACAAGCACGGTCTGGAGCTTGGCTCCTACAAGCATCGAAGCCCCCCAGTCCTGCTGCCTGGGATCCGTATGCCAGGAAGATATGCCATGGCTAGATGGGAAGTGGCCATTCCCTCTTGAGAAAGCATCCAAAACAGTTGACTAAGGATTTATCCCGAATTGGGATGAAAATTTATTTGTGAATCCCAAACAGTGTCTCTCATAGAGCTGTGGGAATGTTGCTATAAAAGGCACGAAAGGCCCAGCTGTGTACGATTATTGTTTTGTTGTTAATTTTTAACAATGAGGGTAGCTACCCATTGGAACAGATCGCCCCTCTCCCCCCCGATGTTTGTTGGTCTTGAGTATTTAAACTATGAGGTCCTCTGAGCAGAGATGTGTCTAGGGCAAAGTGTGCATAGAGAAAACAGCAGCGCCTTCAGCCACGGCTTGTGCAAACCTACTTTCAGCTGCAGCAGTCTGGGAGGACGCGTGCGGCCAGACACGCTGTCTCAGCAGAGGGGTGTCAGCTCCCGCTGGGGTGG